TTTGCAGCGCGTTTCTTGATTTGCATGTGTTGTGAGGATTTGCAGCTCGTTTCTTCATTTGCATGTGTTGTGAGGATTTGCAGCGGGTTTCTTCATTTGCATGTGTTGTGAGGATTTGCAGCGCGTTTCTTCATTTGCATGTGTTGTGAGGATTTGCAGCGCGTTTCTTCATTTGCATGTGTTGTGAGGATTTGCAGCGGTGTGTTGTCAAACTGATGAAGATGTTTTCTTAATTTGCTGGTGTTTTTTCAATTTGCATGTGTTTTCTTAAGTTGCAGCGCGTTGAACTCTCTCGGCCACCGTACATATGCCTTAAATACGGGACAAACTGCGTTCCGTATAGCTTTCATACGGAACGCTTCATTGATGCCTTATATACGGGACAATTCTGTATTATACGGAACGGTTGGCAACCCTACTCGTGAGAGACAAGACAAGCCAAAGCACGAAAGGGCAATCTTTTCGTGAAATTGTCTAGTTATTGAGGCTGTGTGAATGGCAAAACAAAGCTCTCGAAAGCTTTGAAAGAACTGTAACAAGTGTTTCTCACAACAAAGAAAGGACCGCCATCCATCGCACTGGCCTCAGACTGCTGGTCTAGTACATGCTCTCTCTCCACTGTGAAGGATCAAAATAGCGCCAGGAATGGAACTTTTAAATTAAGTACAATTTTCATTTAAAAAGAATATTCTCAGAATACAAAAATATTCAAATGAAGCTGGAATACAAAAATATATTTACAAATGAAATGAGGATGATATTAGTCGCCTATACGGAGCTTCAGTAAAATATCTCAGAAAATAAAGCGAATACAATAGCCCCATTCCCCTACATATCAGTCCCATTTCCTATTTAAATACATTTTTATCGCTGGAAAAAAAATATGCATAAATATGTTAGAACATTTGCAGCAAAAGCATGTACATTTTTTTTAATTAAGCATATACAAAAGTAAATATAAGAATGTACTAAACACCTGTTTTTTTTTTATTACAGAACAAAACAAAATACAAAATACCAACAGACATTTTACAAACGACATTTGAAAAGGCAACAACAAAAGTAAAACAGAGTAAATAATAAATAAATAAGATAAAAATAAATAAATAAATATAAAAGAGGGCCATTATATTACATAAGATTCCTTATATAAAAAAAAAAAAAAACTTAAATGCAGAGCAAATTCTAACAGTCTTTATAGCTTTCTTATTAGTAGACACCGAAATCACATTCAAATAATTTCTCCATTCTCCATTCCTCTTAAAATCCCTCCATATGACGTAATGACGTCCATTCACGATCACGAGGTGCGTTCACCTGGAAACGCGCTGCTGTATTCCGATATAGTGTTGTCGTAAAGCTTCCGAATCGACTCGGGTCTGCCAGCCATCATAAGTAACGTTACAGGGGGTACCGCCTGGTTGAGCTTTGCGCTCCGGCGACAACAAAAGAGCAATCATGACGAGTGAGTATTGATTTTTATTCATTTTGTTGACATGATCTCAGCTTCTACTATTATTAATGAAAGTACTTTAGTAGAAAAAGCCAAATACAGGAGCGGTACGATACAAGGCTAACTAGCTAGCTTATTCTGTCTAGAGTCCACGAAAAGAAATCACAAGATTAACCCGCTAAACAAGGCTAATGCTGGTTTGTGGTGACATTAGTGATTATTAATTATTTATTATATACACTACGGCACGGAAAACGTTTTCTAGATGTTGTGTAAAAGTTAGTTTATGTGTGACAAGTTGACAGACGTTACACATTAGCAAACTTAAATTATATTGTCAATAATACTTCAATAGTAATTCCACGGGGCGAAATTCTTTTCTGAGGAGTGGACAAAATGTTTCAGAAGATCAGGAAGTTGTTTATTTTGTTATACTGTCGATAGTTTTTGTCAGTGTTTTGTGCGGATGTTGTTATTGTTATGATGCTCTCTGGCGCCCTCATTGCCACGTCGCCTCACTGCTACACATGTCTGTGTTGATCATACTGTACACAGATTAGGGTTTACATATTAAACGGTACAGCATCAACGTTCCTTACTTTAAAAATACACTTCCTGATACTGAATAGATTTGCCAGTTGCAGTCTGGAGATTTTAAACAGTGTTATGTTGTTCATTCTTGTTTCATCCTGTCTGCAATATCTGTAAAATTTAAGGCAGTAAAGTATGAATAAGCCATTAAGAGTGTTGCAATGTCTCGTCCTGCAGGGGGAAATCAGCGTGAACTTGCCCGTCAGAAGAATGCTAAAAAGCAAAACGATCAGTCCAAAGGGAAGAAAAAAGAGGATGGCCTCTCAGCATCTGCCCGTAAGCAAAGGTACAGCACATAAAGATAATAACTAACAGATGCATTGAATTGCGAAGTGCATCATACTGAATGTGAATATGATTTTTTTTTTTTTGTATTTCAGAGATGCTGAAATCATGCAGCAGAAGCAAAAAAAGGCAAATGAGAAGGGGGACCCTAAAGGCAAATAACCAGTGAATGGGGCATTGCCCGACCTGGCATCCTGATTTTTTTATTTTGTCAAGAGAGACTATCTGTCATTGTGTAGATGTGGAGACTTTGATTCTTTAATGTTTGAACCCAAACTCCATAATGTGCTTGAAAGGGCATATCAGCTATACAGTACATAATGATTTGTGTTCAGCTATGGAGGAGAGAGTT